GGAGGAGCGAGAGAGAGGGGAGAGGGAGAGAGAGAGAGAGGAGAGAGAGAGAGAGCGAGTAGCGAGTAGCCCGTCTCACCGATGCAGCACAACTACCGTCGCCGTATAGCGAGTAGTGCATGTGTCTCACCAATGCAGCACAACTACCGTCGCCGTATAACGAGTAGTGCATGTGTCTCACCAATGCAGCACAACTACCGTCGCCGTATAGCGAGTAGTGCATGTGTCTCACCGATGCAGCACAACTACCGTCGCCGTACAGCGAGTATCGCGTCTCACCGATGCAGCACTACTACCGTCGCCGTACAGCGAGTATCGCGTCTCACCGATGCAGCACAACTACCGTCGCCGTACAGCGAGTAGCGCGTCTCACCGATGCAGCACAACTACCGTCGCCGTACAGCGAGTATCGCGTCTCACCGATGCAGCGCACGCTTGTTCGGTGGAGACAATGATAAATGGCGAGATTTATGAATTCATATGCGCGGCGTTTTGCTGCTCTGCCGTCGTCAGGCGCGCCGCGCATTGTGTGAGAGCGGCTTTGCGATCGTGTTCTCGCCGCCGGCGGCATCTCCCGCTAATCTGTCAGTGCGGCGGCAAGGTGTGTCCGGAGACGCGACGAGAGAGAGCGAGAGAGAGCGAGAGAGAGCGAGAGAGAGAGAGAGTGGAGAGACAGAGAACGAAGGAGGGGANGAGAGAGAGAGAGGGCATGGCGTGTGGCATATGTGTGTAGATTAGAGAACCTAAAAGTATGGAAACGCTTGGTGGCCTATATAGGAGTGCCCATTTCTCACTTAGCCGCTCGGGTGAAATTCTCTTGTTTCCACAGCTTGAGTGCGTAATGTTTTCCTATGGGTACAGATATAGTTTTTACTGTGCGGACAGATGGTACATATGCATGCAAGCCTAGAATCTATTCCTAACCAATCATTCTCAATATGCACGCACTATTAACACTTAGCAGCGATTACTATAGAGATCCAAACTGCCAATGGATTAAGGAAACCTCAAGGGAGATTCCCTACGAACGCGTGTGCTTTCATTTATGTAACGCTTTCTCGGTCCAACCAACCCTCAATCTGGGCATGATCGTTTAATCCGTCGGAAGGAAACGCGTCCCACCTTCGAGATCACTCCGACCATGTTGATTTAAAAGAGCCATATCAGATATAACAACAAGAAACCGAACTAAGGAAGGAACCCGTGACGACGCGTGTGCGTCAGCTCAGCTATAGTTAGCAGTTAGCGGCTCGTCCATGATACTCAGCTAGTCGGAAAACATGCAGTCATTTGTAGGGATTGCCTTCGCCTATTGTTAGCAGCCAGTACCACACCAATGGCTTCTGTATCAGCCATATAATTGCTATAGTATAATGGCATGTTAAGTAAATACCTACTGAAAGTGTCCGCGGTCCGAATTAATCAATTATTTATTAGTGAATTTTTGTTTGATTCACTCGCACGGGGCACATTAATATTATCTTTCTTCTTTCTATATAATATATATATATATATATATATATATATCTCTCTCTCTCTCTACTATATATATATATATAT